CCCTTCTCAAAGCCCTCTCAGCTGAGGCTGGTCTGCGGGGCCAGCTGGGGCATGTCATGTGACCTCTGCGTTCAACCAGGGGCGAGCCAGCCTGCTTCCTCCATCCCACGTCCCAGGCAAGCGCGACCCCGCCCTTGCAGGCGCCATTGTCATCTGGGTGGCGGTCCTGGGCTCCTGGCGGTAGGGGGTGGGGGAATTCTTTTATGGCCTTGATTTTGGGCAAGCTCGAGAACAGGGGATTGTTGCTCCCTGCCCATGTGGGGCGGAGAAATTCCTTTTGTGAATGTGAGCTCACAGTCCCAATTAACCCTACCCTACAGCACCCCAGCTGTGGTAACACGGGTTAGGGGGCTTTTGGGGGAGGACTTTTCTAGTCTGAGAGAGCCTCCCCAGCCCTCCGAACGTGTCCTGAGGGGAAGCCTGGGTCGTAAAGGTATTTACTCCTGCGAAGAGAGGATTAGAACGTCCCCATACCAAAAGTCTCTAGGCGAGAAAATCTTAAAATAATAAGCTTTTATTGCTTTTATTCAGTTTACCTGTTTGTGGTGGGGGGGAGAAAATCTTAAAATAATAGCTTGCTTTTATTAAGGATTTTCCTTTGCGAGTTATCCTATTTTACTTTTACACTACAAGGCCTCACTCAAATGAATATCTGAGACTAATTGCCTTCCTACATTAGAGTATTAGCTCCCCAAAGTGGTCCTCAACACTGTGTGTCACAGTGCCTGGCAGCTGGGAGTCTCTAGTCATGGTTGTGTAATTAATGAGTGAGGCGTGCCTGTTTTAAAGGTAAAGAATTTGAAGCAAAGAGATGGTGTAACTTGTACAAAATCACCACTGCTAGTGAAATTGTATTCTAATATGCAAGCTGGGTCCTGAGTTCTTACGCAGGATTCCAGTAAAAAAAACAAAACAAAACAAAAAAAAAACCCGAACCTCAAAACATTATCCTCCGCTGCAGATCTACATAACACACTCTTTGGTTAAATTTCATACAGTAGTTTCCGGCCAGGTATCTGAAACAAAACAAAATAATTCGTTTTGTAATTTGGTAGAATGTTAAATTGACTTTCTTTCAGGATAAGGGCTACTTTACGGTTTTGTATGTATAGCCCTGTTTTGAGAACATCAACATTGTCTAGGATGTATACTTAGGGTAAGGTATCCTGGGGATTCTCTGTCAACATTATGCAACAAAGATGATTTCAACCCTTGAACAGCCAGTCTTCTAGATCAACTCCCCAGTTACTAACCAGAAGAGCATAATGTGTCATACCTAAATGGTATCTGTGGCACTTTATCCTCAAGAGCTTGTTCCAGTGTAATGTGTTAGTCATGTTAGTACCTCTTGGACAATCCAAGGAAGAATCAGGAAATAGGCTATGTCACATCAGTTGTGGCATGTTAACACTATATCCCAAAACAAACCTATTCCAGCCCAGATCTCCTGCTTAGTTGACTGGTATTAACAGACTTCCAGTCACCTGGACTTGAAAGGGGAAAATCATCTTCCCTCTTCCCACTTTCCTTCATAAACCATTGTCCATTCTAATACCCAAATTTCTCTAATCCCCGAATCTGCGATCTAATCCCAACACCTGTGATCTAATCCTAGCATTATGGTAGTATTCATATAAACTGAATTAATGCATAGTCCCATCTTTTCAATCATTTTTTGCATTTCAGCCAGTAACTCTCCTCAAAAATGTTCAATGATAACTCACTTGCAAAATAGAGTCCAAAGTTCTTTTCTAGGCCCAACCCACATTTCTGTCATTCTATTTCTATAGTTTCCCTCTCCCCAAACTCTTGCTTTGTACCCTAATCATACCAGTATACCCAGTGTTCCCAGAATATTGCCTGTGTGTTCTCATCTTGGCATATTTAATCACTTTGTTCTCTCCCTCCCAGAACACCATTAATGTTCATCACTGCCCGTTTCACTTTTGCCAAGAAACCAAATGCTCTTGATCACATCTGAGAATATAGTTGAACCTTGAACAATGCAAGTGTTAGGGGAACCAACTCCCCACACAGTTGAACATCTGCATGTAATGTTTGATGCCCCCCCCACCAAATTAAGTACTAGTAGCTTACAGTTGACTGGAAGCCTTACCAATAAAATATTTTATAAGTTATATTTATTACATATTCTACTCTTACAATAATACCTAACTTCCTCATTATTATTATTATTATTTTTGGTATTTCTGGGCAATATCATTTGCAAGTTTTTTTTTCAAAATTTTGCAGATCTCCAAAAAATCTTCTGATATATTGAAAAAATCCACATATAAATGAACTTGCCCAGTTCAAAACTGTGTTGTTCAAGGGTCAACTGTACTTCTACTGGATTTATCTTTTTCCAATAGTTTCAATACTTTGCTTTACTCTCTATGATGGTTCTAATATCTATCTGCTTTATTTTATAGTGCCTAGACTTTTCTCCTCACATTTTTATTCCCATTGGGGAATCTAAAACTCATTGGGGGAGTAGGCCCTGAGTAGGCCTCCTGACTCACTGGGCGTGGAGCCTGCTTAAAATTCTGTCTCTCCCTCCTTCTCTGCTCTCTTCCAATAAATAAATAAATAAACAAACAAACAAACAAATAAATAAAATCTTATTAGCATTTTAAAGTTCTTAAGGACCAAGACAACAATTTATCCATCATTTCAATTCCTCACAAAGGATCTTTGACAATAGGGACCTCAAAATATTTGTGAACTTAATTGCATTTAAAATGATGAGCATTTGACTGAGGAAGTCCTCACAAATAACACATGGATAGTGTAATTTATAACTTGTTAGGAACACCCCATTTCATTGTTCTAGGATAATGCTTCCTCATTTATTTTTTCTACCAATTTTGTCTTTTAATTTACCCCCTTCATAAATACATTTCACAGTATTTTATAGTTTAGTCATAATGTTTGCCTTGAAGAGGGCTGCTCCCGTGGCTAGCACTTCTAAGTTCCACTGGCAATTTTGGAGAGACTGATATGCCACAGTACATCTTTGCTCTTGGTGCTGCCACTCATAATATGCTTGTGTTTTTTTTCTCACCCCCAGGTAACTGAGGATAACAGATAATTGTATATTTTTAGTGTCAAATGTGGAATCCTATTTATTGATATAATTTGTTAAGGAAGCTACAAAGTGGATGGGCCTTAAATGAAATTACAGACTTGAACACAGCCCTCAGTGCTTCCTGTGCTCTCAAATCTCTAAATACCCACACACAAATTCCTAGTACTTTGCATCTATCATCCCCAGCACTCTTACGTATCTGTATCTTCTACCTTCTCTTCCGGGAAATGTTTCCACCATTGTGTAGTTGAAGAATGAATCAAAGATGGTAATGACTGGTAATGTTCTTTTAACTGGGACTATCTGAGACAAACCTGAAGGTAATTCTAACTGAAGGAATTGCAAGCATAGTGGCAAGGCAATAAGAAAAAGACTGTGGGAACTTGAGTTATTCATGTTTAAAAAGCAGGGCTTAAAGCAAGCCTCAGTTCAAATAACTTCTAAGCCCACAAATTCTAAAGCAGCATCCCTTTATAGGAAAGTATTTTCTTCACTACACTTGTCAGTATGTGAAATGATCCTATTTATTGGTTTACTTGATAGTTATCCATCCCCACTAGAAAGTAAGTTCCAAGAGATAGGGATTGGCTTGTATTTCACAATATTCCTAGCACTGACACAAAGTAAGTACTTAATAGTTATTTGTAAAATGAAAGAATTGAATGAATGCTTATACATAGACATGCCTTCATTTATATGCTATCAAATCATTTAAGATGCTTAAGGGGAGAAGAATATTTATATTAATTATCTGAAAATTACAGTATACAAATGTTTTCAAATGTGAAATAATATCCCCTATGCATTTTTTTAAATTTTAAATTTTACAAGTCCTTCATAGTTTCTAAAAGACTGGAATCCTATAAATTCTGTTCTGATTCCAAGCTAGGTGCTGTATTTCCCATGTATGTGTAGAACATTACAAATATTCACCAAATAGACTTTCATTGACAAAGGGGGCTGCCTGGCTGGCTCAGTCTGAAGAGTATGCTACTCGACTTTGGGGTCGTGAGCTCAAGCCCCACCCTGGGTGAAGAGAATACGTAAATAAATAAATGTAAAACCTGACAATTTAAAGAAAATCCCATGCTGGGGTGCCTGGGTGGCTCAGGCTGTTAAGCCTCTGCCTCAGGTCAGGATCCCAAAGTCCTGGGATGGGTCCCTGCATAGGGCTTCCTACCCAGCAGGGAGTCTGCTTCTCCCTCTGTCCCTCACCCTTTTCTCACACACACTCTCTCTCAAATAGATAAGATATTAAAAAAAAAAAAAACCAACAAACCCAAAAAACAAACAAACAAAAAAACCCGTGCTTAAAACGAATTTGAGTTTGCCACAGTATTTTAAAGTCAGTATGCATCTCAAACTTTATTTAAATGTTATTTAAAGCCTGGTTATTAAAGTGTAAATGTTCTCAAAGACTTTGTTTCTGTACTGCAGCTACCAAATATAATAACAGAATTCAAGGTAGTTCTTTAGGCTAAAAGAACTACATGCAGTATGCATGTTCTTGCATAACGAAGGACCTAAAATTAATGGTCACCACTAGAAAAATGGCTACTTATTCTCTGTTCGCCAGTAAAATTAATAGGCAAATGGCCAGGAGGCAGCCCGTGGCTAAACCCGTCCTAGGGAGAGTGAGTTGCTTGCAAAACGGTAGAGAAGTTGGTGAGCATTTTCTCTAGTGCCCAAGACCATATCCTTCAAGTTTTCTTGCCCCCCAGATCTAGTAAGGAAGGAGGAAGAAAAGAGAAGAGAGGGAGAGAGGGAGAGAAAGGAGAGGGAGAGAAACAGACCGAGACAGAGTGGGAGATATGGGTAGGGACCAGCCTGATGAAACAATTGCGCGCCAAGCCACGCCCCTGTTTCCTAGGTAACCCAGTAAACAGACCTTCATCTGCCGCTCGTCTGTGAACTCCTCTAGGTGTAAATTGGTAGGCAGGAAGCTGTGGGCAGGGAGTCCGAGTGGAGATGTGTTCTTTCGTGAGAGAGGGGTTACCTAAAGGGTTGGGGCACCCCAAGGGCTTAGGAACTTACATTGAGCCAGGTGCAGCTTTCCCCTTAGAGATGAGTGCAGCTGGAGGAATGAGGGTGTCCGAGAGGAAATGTCCCCAGAGTATGGAGGTTGGTCTCACGGACAAAGGAAAGGATGACTCAGGAGAGAGGGGGGTCCTCATGGGAACAAAATCTCCCACGGAGTTAGGGTTCAGAGTGGGATTAGGAAAAGAAGATTTCTCATGTAGGGAGAGCCTCCTGGATAGTAATAAATTTGAGGAGAGGATAGCATCACCAGAAACAAAATCTCCATTGAGCAAGGAGCTTGAAATGAAAGTAAAAATACAGAATCTTTCTAGGACCCTCCCGGAGAAGAGTAATTTAGGAGTCTATGGGGTCTCAGCCTCCCAGGAAACAAAATCTCTAAGTATGTTACCAGGAAGAATGGGCTTAGAAAATGACTGTCTTCTGGCAGGGTGTTCTGGAAGGATCATACAGCCTCACTTGGGCATGGTATGCGAAAGTCCACAGGCTCTAGGGAGCAGGAGAGGTTCTGTGGCTGGTTCCTATGGAGGGGTAAGGGCTTCACTGGGGAAGCAGCCTACTTTGGATATAGAACCTAGACAGGAACTGGGAAAAGAGACCTGTGTGGTGATCAAGCCCAGTGCAGAGATGAAGCCTCCTGTGGAGGTGGACACTGGTCTACCCAAACTAGAAGAGCCAGGGCCCCAAATAGGCTTGGTGATAGAACCTTCTGAGAGCCAGTTTGCCCAACAACCTGAAGAGAGAAAGGAGGCTGAAAACACTGAGCCAGGAATAGAACCTCCATATCGCATCAGACCCATATACTCTGGGAAATTCTTTGATCGGATGCCTTGCTGGCCAACTGTAAGTGTTTTTTTCTAGTACTTTCCCTAAGAACTCTGTATATCCATGTCTTTATCAAGATGATAAACTGATGAGACGTGTTTGGATTCACGGAGTCAAATTGCAAAGATTTCGCTGAGCTGCTGATAATTCCTTGTTCCATTGGATTCTTTCAAGCTTTCACTTTGTCTGATATTTTCTCATTTTTTGCCTCCCTTCCTAGATGTCAGCTTTGTTTTCTGTGTGTACCGTACCGATGGTTCCTCCTGACTTCTCCTGCCTTTCTCCTTTGACCTTCATTTTATTGATTAATCTGCATTTCCTCAACCCTTTCACCAAGATACATGTTGTATCCTAATAGTCATATAATGAAAGAAAAAAAATTCCCCCATTGATTATATATTCTGTGATTATTTATTCTTCCAGCAAAGACTAGTGATGGTAGTAGCCATTTTGCTGGATACAAGAAAATATACAACAAAAACCACATTATCCATACACTCTCGGTTTAGACACTCATTCTAATGTTAGAGACTGATAACTGAACAAATGTTATATAGGTTTCCAAATGAGTAGAAAACAAATTTGATTCTTCCTTAGTAGATATAATACTCTAAGCGCAGAGCTCAGTGGAAAGATTGGGCAACTCTGTTTGAAGGAGATGGGAAGGCTTTGCAGAGCAAGTAATATGAGCTAATTTAGAAATATTTGAGCTCAGGGCACCTGAGTGGCTCAGTGGGTTAAGCCTCTGCTTTTGGCTCAGGTCATGATCTCAGGGTCCTGGGATTGAGCCCCGCATCGGGTTCTCTGCTCAGCGGGGAGCCTGCTTCCCCCACCTCTCTCTGCCTGCTGCTCTGTGTATTTGTGATCTCTCTTCCTCTGTCAAATAAATAAATAAAATCTTAAAAAAAAAAATTTGCGCTCATTTGAACTAACTTGTTGGATGGAAAAAAAGATTTGAGCACTTTTGGCAAAGAAAGGCAGAGAACATGACCAAAGTTTCTTGTATCTGAGAATTATAAGCAACTCTTTTTATCCAGCATGGTGTTAAGAGATACAGATGAAAACGGAATATGTGGAAGAAATCTAAACATCCAGAACAATGGAAACAGAAGCAATGGTGGATAAAATCTGCCTTTTGGAAAGATAATTTTGATATCAGCAGTAATGGTGGACTTGAATGGGGTAATATTGGATGACAGGAAAACGTTAGAAGGCTTTATCAAAGTAATTATGGATGAAAATTTATGTAGAGTTAGGATAGAGAGGAAAGTGCAATTTTGAAGCCTTTGTAGATGATATTGTTAAAAATTGCCATCCAGGGACATCTGGGTGGTTCAGTTGATTAAACCTCCAACTCCTGATCTCAGTTCAATCGTCCATCTCAGGGTTGTGTGTTTAAGCCCTGTGTTGGGCTCTGTGATTGCTGTGGAGCCTATAGAAGAAGAAGAAGAAGGAAAAGAAGGAGGAGGAGGAGAAAAGGAGGAAGAGGAAAAAAAAAAACTTTAAAAATAAAATAAAATAAAATAAATAAATAAAGTTCTTAAAAAGAAAAAAAAAAAAAAAGAATTGCCTTCCGGTTGTTCTTCTATGTGGTGAAAGAAAGGAAAGCTAGGAAAGCTGATGGATGACTTAGGGATTTCTAGTTTGATAATGATCTCTTCTGGTTTGGTGGCAAATGAATATCTGGTGTTGGCCATCCTGAATTTGAAATATCTGCAAGATATCAGATGAAGAATCCAAGGTTATGGTTGGTAATGTGAGACAGTTGGAGCCATGGGTAGGATAGGAGAAGAATCTAGGCAAGAACCTTGGGAAACACATTTATGCAGTGGTCAAAGAAAGAATTGTCAATTAGGTGAGCTTTTGAGGAGTGGGTCTTTACCTTATTTATTGTGCAGCTTCATGGCATATCATAATGCCTGGCATATAGTGGTCATTTAGTAAATATATGATGAAAGAAGGCAGGATGATTAAATTGGAGAACGAACAGAAGAAAAAAGTGAGTCCAAGAGGGTGGTATTGAGGAACATAAAAGAAGCATCCTTGGGACACCTGGGTGGCTCAGTGGGTTAAGCCTCTGCCTTCGGCTCAGGTCATGACCTCAGGATCCTGGGATCGAGTCCCGCATCGATCTGCTGAGCAGGGAGCCTGCTTCCCCTCTCCCTCTGCTGCTCCCCCCACTTGTGCTCTCTCTCCTTCTCTCATTCTCTGTCAAATAAAGTCTTTAAAAAAAAAAAAAAAAGAAGCATCCTTGAGGTATTCTGAGAATAAAAGACTCCACACACTGAGATTTGACAATGCAATTCTGCTGAAAGTGGTCAGAGGGATTCTGCAGAATTTTTTCTATATCTGCAGACTTTTTGTTCCCCTTGGGACTCAGAGTGTTCTTTTGTCTTTGACCCACTTTGCTTTCTGGTTCCCTTATTGGATTTCCCCAGCCACACTCTTTCACCTGACCACGCCTGCTTCTTCTTTCTGGATTGGTTCCACAGTCTATGGCTTCAGACCTGATCTCACACATGGGCAGATACCAGCTTCTGGTTTCCAACAGAGGCAATTCTAAACCTGTGCTTCCTCTTCCTCTCACATCCTTCTTTCTATGTGTGATAGGACAGGGTAGACAGTTTCAAGGAGAAAGTGACTAGCAGTATTAAAACACCTGTGATAGGGTAAAGAGGATACAGATTAATTAGCTTTGGACATTAAGGAAATTAGCAACGTTGGTAGAATGGCATAATGGAGAGAGAATTCAGATTCCAATATACTGAAGAGTGAACAGGAAATTCAAATTAGAGAAAATTATTGTGAATTTTGTTTTTTCCTTAAGAAGTGTGACAGTGAAAAGAAGGGAGTAAAGACTCCACTTAGGAATTTATTTATTTATTTAGTGAATCAGTAGAGAAGTTTAAGTTAATACAAAGGAAATAATGGGTGGAACCAGATCCTAGATAAACAGGAGGAAATGAAATTAGGGTACAAGTCAAGAGAAGTCAAGATTAGTGTGGACTAGAAATAATAATTTTAATATTTAAATATCCATTTTTACTATAAAACAAAAATAACAATATTTTAGAAAACAGGAATGAAAACACCCAGAATCTTATTACCCTCACACAATGCCTACCATTCTGCGGCATTCACATGAATGTTTATTAGCAGTTTACCATATCAACATCACTACTCATGGAGCTTTGCCAGGTATAAATTCTTTGGCTGTCATAACGAAACTATGAGACAGCTGCTATTATTAAATTCCATTTTACAGATGTGGAAACTGAGGCAAATTAGATAATTTGGCGAATGTCATATAGCTAGGAAGTGGTATTCCCAGGATTTGAAGTCACAACTTCAGACTCAAGAGTCTGAATTCTTGACTATACTACATTTCTTGTGACACTTTTTTGCAAATGTGTTTTTAGGTAGTTGTTATGCCAAACATACAAATTGTTTTTCTTGGTTTTTCAATAATTATCATTTAATACAGCTTCAGTGTTAATACAGAGACCTTAAAAGATCTTTTAATGCTAAAAAACAGTATTTCTTTAAGCTAATATATGATTTTTAAGCTACTTTACTCTCGTGTTGGACATTAGATTTTTTCCAGATTTTTCTATAAAAATAGCCTGTGAACATCTTTATGTATATATCTTTTTATATGTCTTGGAATATTTCCTTAGGATAGAGTTTCAGCAGAAGCCAAAGGATGGATATTTTTCTAGTTACTGTTGCCAAATGCCTTTCTAAAAGATTGTACCACTGAATTTTAAAAATTAATAATGATTTGTAAGGCATTGTTTTAATTCACATTTATTGGATTTGTGATGAGACTGAAAATTGTTCCATATGTTTGTTTTCATTGTTATTCTTGTATCTGGTCATCTTGGTCAACTCCTGTTTGTCTTAATTGCTTCTCATTATGAAGTGAACTCAAGGGGTTTGCTGCTTGGGCTACATCAAGTTGAGCACAACGCAAGGAAATATTGGAAAGCAAAGAACTTTTTATTGTTACAAGAAAGAAGACAGGGAAATAGCTCTCAAAGCACTGTCTCCCTATGGGGTTAGTATAGGAAGCTTTTATTCAGTGTATTGGGAGTGGGGACAGGGAATTTGCATATGCACTTTTGGTTTAATTGCACATGCCTCGCATGTAAACGTGCTAGTGCATACATTGTATGTTCAAAAAATGACAGAAACTCTGCTCGTAGGAAGGGAACTTAGTATTATAATGAACTAAAGGTATCCTTAGGACAACTCAGAGGGGGTTTCTGCACAGGTCCTCACCTCCATCCAGTTCAGCTCAAACTGGCTCAAGGTGTTACCATGCAGGACACACCTAGCAAGGGGCTAGCTGGCGAAACACCTAGTTAAGCATCTCCTTGGCTGGAACTGTTGGCTCTGCAAAACAAAACACATTCCTTTCCCGCTTTTGTCCCTTCCCCTCCTCCCTTCTGCTGATAGTTTTCAAACCTCTTATTTGCGTCCTACCTAACAATTATTTCTTGCGTCCTACCTAACAATTATTTCTTTTGGATTTCCTAGGTAGGCAATCATATCGATACTTTCTTTCCTTCTTCAGTATGTACACCTCCTATCTCTATTTCCCATCTCATTGCATTGCTTATGACCAATAATGCAATATTGAAAGTGAGGTCTCTTTTCAAATTTTAATGGGAATGATTTTTATGTTTCAATGTCAAGTATTATTTTTGCTGGAGATTTCTGATATAGCAAATTAAGGATACCTATATTCATTCCCAGTTTGCTAAAAATGTTTAAAAGTTAGGAATGGAGTTTGAACCTTGAAGAACTTTTCCCCACATTTGCTGAAATATGTGTTTTCTACATTAAAACCATTAATTTTCTAATAGCAAACCATCTTCATATTTTTGAGCTAAGTCCTACCTGGTTTTAATATATTATTATTCTAACATATTCCAGGATTTGATTTGCTCTTATTTTGCTAGCATTTTTGCATCTATGATCCCATGTAAGATTGTACAGTAGTTTTCTTTTTGTAC